AATCACTTGTTTATTTTATTTCTTTTCCTCCTCTACCTCCGTGGGTCTGTGGGTCTGGGTGGCAGCATATCTCAACTCGATTCAGTGTGACAATATTGTTTGGCTATCATTCGCTGGTTTAGTATGAATGGCATCGATCCTCTTTTAACAACATTTGTTTCCTATTGTGTTCGGCGGCGCAGCAGAGGAGGGCAGACGTGTGAAAGTGGCTGTTTGATTCTCTTTTTCATCCCCATGACCTCAGCTTTTGTGTCTGGTCACCCTGGGAATGTCACGCCTCACTACTCTACTTTAAGATGTTTCAGAAAGTGCCCTTTGTTTTCCTTCTTCTTTTTTTTTTTTAAAGCTCACACAAAATTGTTCTTGAGCACCCCCCACCACCTCAACCTCCTTCTTGCTATAAAGGATACTTCAGAACGAGGCACGGTTCACAAGTGCAATGCAATTTGGCTTATCCCAACCTTTGTTCGGTTTTCTACAAATGACCAAACATAGTGCAGACTTGATCTACTGCTGCTTGAACTCGGGAGTTTGGAAGCTGCTGCAAAGAAAACCTATTGAGATTTTCAGAGTCATGGTGGTATTTTCAGTGTGTGCATCGGCAGGGACAATGGGCCCAACAATATCCCATAACCCCGGAGCTCAAAAAGCCATTGCGTTTGAGAGTGAGAGAAGTCAAAAAAACGGCCCTTAAACCCTGCGCAAATGAGCGTTGCAGATCAATTTGCAAGGGTGCACAACTTCCTCTGATATATGAAATATTGGAAACACATAAAATCTATACATTGTATATTTCCTCTGATGTCACAATAGGTAAATTTGTTTTATTTTGCACGACACTAATGCACTCACTGATTAATTAGACTGAGCTCTCATCATATCCTACATATATAATAATGGGAGTGAATTGACGTCCCGCCCTGCGCTCTGGATGTCAGAAGATATTTGGCTCTTTGCAGACTGTTTTCATTATCCGCAGTGTTTGAGTTGAGGGCGACAAGGCCACTTCCTTTTGGACAAATCCCTTTCTCCGGAACATTAACGAGAAATGACAAGTGTTAAAAGTCAGTCTGCTGAAGCAAAAAAGGAAAAAAAAAAAATCCATGTTTTTGAGTCTCACCAAAAATTACGAAAATAAATACAGTTAATTTAAAAGACACGATTAGATAATGATCCTAATTTCTTTCTATTATTTTTAAAAGATTAATTGCTTTACATATTTGTCCTGACTGATGATTTGAGTTCGTTAATCAGTCCAGAGGACGCTCCTCTGCAGGTTTCTGGGTAAAAGTAGAAGGCTCGGTGCTCCCCCGCAATGCGATTCTTGTCGTAATCCATCAGACTGGTGATGGGTTGCGCTGTGGGTTTATAGAGGCGGGGAAATTAGCATAAATTATGAGTAAATCTGGATGTGCGTGTGTGTGGTCCCATGGCATTGCGAACCCTCCAAGCGTAAAAAGGTGGCCCTGCACGGCCAAAGAAGCTTGAATAGAACTTTTCTGAAAATAGGCTTCCCATTTCGAGGCTCCGCATTCATATAATTGACTTATGGATATTTTATACAGTTTTCGCCACACCATCCTTGAGGGTTTATTTGCATTCCTGAAGTACTTTTTGGATCTTCTTTTACATAAACACAATAGAGCTGATTGCCTCATGAAGTTTCAGTTTGAACAGCTTTGTGTTGCACGTTTTTTTTTTTTCTCGCTGTACTCTGATTAGCTGAGAAAAACTAATATTCAAATACACCCACTCAATGCAAATATTTTTTTTTCCATCGCGTGCAATATAACATTTTCAATTGTGAATAAAATCAATTTTCCAAGCGCCTTAATTTATTCCACCGAATTTAATTTAATACATATTTTACTATTAATTTATTACCCACCTACAAAATTGCGTAATCCAGTTTATAGCAATAAAAACAAGGAAATATGGTTTAATTTTAATGAAAATGTAACATGGCAAATACTCTTAGCTTTAGTTTAAATTCTGAGAGTTAAGTCCGCAGAAGAGCGCATACCTTCACACACTGAGTGCCATCCGGTTACCGAGCCTCTTTCGCACCCTTTTGCTGTCTTCAAATGGAAATGATTTCCATTGGCCCAAGGTGTCCGTGTAAATAGGTGTAAATGAAACCAGATTATGCCTTCCTTCCCAGCACCCCTCCCTCCCCTCCTTCCCCTCCCATGGCAATTGTCATGTGATAGCAAAGAGGTGGCACATTAATGGAGCGCCTCTACAGGGGTTCTTTTCTGCTCATGTCACAACATAAAACTATCAGATGGTTAGAGGAAGGCCATGGAGGCGCACGACAGTTAGTCTCATACAAGGGGAAACCGCCAAATGAAGTCCACTCTGCAACAGTAACGGGACAAGCTGAACCACTTTGCCAGAGAGAGAGAGAGAGAAAAAAAAGACGCTCCGTAAATGCGCACCGTCCCTCTCCAGCGCAGAGGCACTCAGAGACCGGCTGTTTTACGCGCACCGCAACTGCAGCTTTGCAAAGACTGAAACTTTTCCCGGCTGTTGTTTGCGTGACAAGAACTGAGCTTCCATCGAGGAACAGAGGGAAACTAAGCTTAAAAATATAATATCATTATTTTATTCCGCTTTACAAAACAGTGAGGATGCCTCGTCCGGGGAGAAACACTTACAGCGACCAGAAGCCTCCCTACTCCTATATCTCACTGACCGCCATGGCAATCCAGAGCTGCCCGGAGAAGATGCTGCCTCTCAGTGAAATTTACAAGTTCATCATGGATAGGTTCCCTTACTACAGGGAGAACACGCAGCGGTGGCAGAACTCTCTGCGGCACAATCTATCATTCAATGACTGTTTTATCAAAATCCCCCGGCGCCCGGACCAGCCGGGTAAGGGCAGCTTCTGGGCTCTGCACCCAAACTGCGGGGACATGTTCGAAAATGGAAGTTTTCTGAGGCGTCGCAAAAGGTTCAAGGTGTTGCCAGCTTCAGACCACCTAGGCCCGACCAAGCAGTCAGATGCCGCGCATTACCTCCAGCAGCAAGCCAAGCTGAGGCTGAGCGCACTGGCGGCCACCGGCACGCACCTTCCCCAGATGTCAACCTACAACCTTGGAGTATCCCAATCGTCCACCTTCAAGCACCCGTTCGCCATAGAGAACATCATCGCCCGGGAGTACAAGGTCCCCGGCAGCCTGGCGTTCTCCACCATGCAGTCTATGTCCGCCGGGTACCCGCTGCACAATCAGCTTACGACGGCCTGGCCCCACATGTACAACAGCAGCGTGATCGACACGGCGGCCCCCATCTCCATGACGAGCAGCGACTACAGCGCGTACGGTGTACCCATAAAGACGCTGTGTCACGGGGGACAGTCCTTACCGGCCATCCCAGTGCCGATCAAGCCCACCCCGACCTCCATGACGGGCTTTTCGGCGTTACCTCCTCACATCCCCGCATTCCTATCAAACTCTCCACAGTCTCTGAGCCCGACCTCCCCACAGACAGCAACGAGCCAAAGCAGCCCGGCGACCCCGAGCGAAACTCTGACGGGCCCCTCCACGCTGCAGTCCGTGGCCGTGCACTGACTCTCCCAGGCCCCCCTACTCCCCTTCTTACCAAACCCAAAGTTTATATTTTCTGCAGTCGGAAACTATCAAGGCGAGTGGAGGTTATATATTGATTTATTTGTGTGTATATATGTCGAATGTGTCGCTTTAAATCGTGTCAAGTCCAGCACAGAAACGCACACGAAGTATTGCTCTTGAACATATAAATTATTTGATAGTTCTATTTTTCAGTTTGTTGTGATATTAAAGTGTTGATGGTGGGGGGCCCAACAAGGTGATCAGGGGGCTTGCCTTTTTTTTTTTTTTTTTTTNTTTTTTTTTTTTTTTTTGGCAAGAACTCGGTTGGAACTTTTGCACCGTTTCTGTGGGACCACCATAATCTCAATAATGATACAAAAACATCTCCTTTTTGTTTACTTTTAACTCTAAAATTGTGGTTAAAGGTTTTGCCAAATAGGAGTAGTATTTAGATCTGTTCTTTCACCTCTCACACCGTCCCTGGGGGGGGAAAAAGGCAAAAAGCTGAAAGACATTGTGTTGTCATCAAAATGCAAGATGTGAACGTTTGTTGTAAAATGCACTTTTTTTTAGTTGTATGTTTTAGATATCTATTTTACAGGAAAAAAATGTTCTGTGAAGCATTTAATTTAAAAGCCGTGGTGACCATGTTTATCAGATGCTGTAAAATTTGTAATTTTTTTTTTTTAAGGTGAAGCATGCGTTCCTGATTTTGTATTGTTCCTGTTGTTGTTGTCATTGTTGTTTTTTTCCCACCTTTTCGTTTCACTCCTGTTTTTTTTCTCTCCTCTATTTCAAACATTTTATTTCAAGCATGCCTGCTTTGGAAAAGTGTGCAAACAGTCTGCGATAAACGGGAGGAAAAAATGGTCATCAAAATATTTTTTCATTAAAAGTGAAATAAGCAATCCAAAGTGTTTCCGAAGTTTTCAAGAAATTCTTATGACTTTAAGGAATTATGCTTATGATTATATCATAGATTATGATTATTATTGCAAATTATAATTATAATAAATACTAATTTCTATAATTTAGAAAGCCATTTTTACCATTTACATAATATTATTGTTAATAAGTGGGAGAAAAGGAGGGAAGCATTAAGTTCAGAAATGATTCTGCAGTCGATTAGGATGCAGGGAGCTGAGACGCCTTGCTCACAGTGCAGACAACTAACCTCATTCATCAAGCCGAGCTAAACACTGCTGGGTCTGACAATAAACAATTAAAAGACTCACACACAGCATGCAAATTGATATTTATTTATAAGATAATATCAATGATAGGGATTTTATATTTGGAATTATGCATTTCTCTCTCTTTGGCCTTTTTATCTATTTTATGTTTCTTGTTCGGGAAATAAAACTCAACAGGTTAACAGATATAAAGTCAACAATATCACCAATTCTTACATTTAAATATTTAAAATTGATTTTTGCATCCTCTTAAATTATTATTGTTTTTAAAAGAAGAACAAATGGTTTGAGTATTAAACAAATACATTAGAATTCCGTCACTTTTTTTGCAATCCAAATCAAATAAAGAGTCTCTGGCCACTTCATTCACCTTCATTCACTTGTATTGAAAGTGCAAAGAATGGTAAACTTCGACTGGGCCACCAATGTAGATTTAGCCTTTTTTTTTTTCAGCAAGACAAAAAGACAGATTTTTTTTCTTCTTTCACAAAAACATTGCTGACTGGGGAACTAGGAAACGAGCTGCCGAGACTCTTTTGGAATTTAAATCCACCCCTCCCCCGTAGACTGTTTGTACAACAGTGTTAGTTCTTTTTTTTTTTTTTTACTTTTTCTTCTTCTTAAACCCCCTCCTTCACTTTGTGCATTTGTGTTTGTAACATTATTTCTGACTCTGGAGAAGTCAGCTCCGACGTTTTTACTATGTTCCACGATTTTACAGGATAGTGATATATTTTTAGGTAAATCATTTCATATCCCTACAGCATATCAAAATACATTAAAAAAATAAAAACAAACAAAAAACTCTTTATTTGTCCTGCTGGGTAAATGAATGCTTAAGAAACGAGGAAAGAACAAATTAATACAACCAAAAAAATGTATGCATATGCATAAATACATATATGTATAGGTGATTTATTTTTCTTTTGCGATGGATGTAATGCAAATAAATAAATAAATAAAACTAAACAAAAAATACAAAGTAAAAATTGCAAGAACTCTATATTGAAACAAAAAATTGGATTGCATTAAGAACAAACTAACAGATTATCCAAATGTTAAAAGTTAATATTTTAATTCAAGATGCAATCTTTTTAGTCATGCCTTTAGGACAGGAATAATACATTGAAATAAAAAAAGGGCGTTTATTTGTCTTGTCTTTAATTTTATTTCCAATAAAAAAACATGCCGAGCTTTAGCTAGAAAAATCAGAATTAAATGTGAAACAAATGCAAAAGCTAAAATAAACTGGAAAACAATATAATTAAAATAAATATAAAGATAACAAAAAACTAATTTATTTCCACAATTTTTGTTTTTATTGTTTTCCACTTTAACACCTTTTTTTCTCCCCCTTTTTTAAACTATTAAAGCTCAGTCATCAGTATAAACATACTTGTATAATCTAAGGCTGCTCTGCCCTTGTTCTTTCAACTATGTTCCACTTACACAAAGAAGAAGGTCATCTCAGGCAGGAGATAAAATATAGACCACATACACAAAAAATAAAAAATCCATGTTGTAGTTTAATTAAAATAATTCATTAAAGTGTGAGCCTAAGGTAATTAGTATGTATAATTTATGATTTGCTTAATGCATGCAGGCGCTGGCCGCTGCCATAAACTCAGCTTAACCCAGAGTAAAGAACTGATGTGGACAGGGTGCAGTTATTTACAGTGTGTTTACTGTTTGTCAAGAGTAAGCAAGTGTCCCAGCAAACCCGGGCTGCTACCTGGCTCCACTTTGTACACAAACAACTTCAAATTTATGTGTTTATCTCCAGGATTTATGCCCACTCACAGGAGAGCCTGTCACGTTTGTTGAGGGGTAAACAATATTGGCAATTGCCCCCTCTTTTCTTTTGGCATTTATGTTTAATTCCGTCGTATCGGGTTGGTCATTCTCTCTGTAGATAGTTTCCTCGGCCTTCTTTGAGATGACAGAATGGGAACAAACACCACAAAGTGCAGCTCATCTTTTTCTCCCAGACGCTTGTCAGCCCCGACTTCTAGAGGAAAATAATCAGCAAAAGACCAAAAACTTGCATTAATCATACTCTGCATATGCGTCAATCCCAGGCAAGCCCTTGACATTTTGAAACGTGGCTAGTGGCTTTATTTTATCACATCTTGTGAGGATTTTTTTTTTCCTGCAAAAACAACACAGTAAAGCAAATATTTTCAGACGGAGCTGTGTAGCACAGTAAACAGATTTATTTTAGTGGTAAACAGAGCAACTTGTGGGCTTTAGTGATTGGTGGAAAGAAGACTGCATTTCCTTTAAGGCTTCCATATTAGATCACCTGTTATTCGCCTTGATATGAGTCCATTTTTACAATGAGAATAGTATTTCAGCCCACTCTTTAGCCACAGTACACATCATCATTATAACACTAAAAGCTTAAATCATCAGTGATAATGTGCTGCTCCCCAGGGTAAATGGGCTGCCTGGCTGTGGCTGAGGGCAAAGGGCAGGTATGGCGAGGGCAGCCGTAGGGAAAGAGACGTGGAGGGAGGGAGGGTGCCGCTGAATCCACGACCGGCTCAGTAAAACACCCATGTGTGCATGAAATTAGAGTGTCAACATCTGATTCATGCTTCTGGGTGGTGACTGTGAAACAAATTATGTCAGCGGGTGGCAGTGGCAAAATTCCACTGAGCTGCAGCAAACAGTGTCCCCTGTGAAGTTACAGCAGGCAGTAGATCAGGGTTTTATAAAGCACAAGAAAAAAATTTTGCACTGTAAATGTGCATTAAAAATAGCATTTCAAGTTATTTACAAAAGAGCAAAAGAAAACTGAGAAAAATTTATTTTCCATCCTGTCTTTGTGCTGCTGACTGTAATTGCATTTAAGGGCTTAAATGGATGTTGGTGTCACAGACCATTTTCAGTGTCTTTAAAATATCTGAGACGCACAGGAAAGGGTTTCAGCAAATGAAAAGCAATGGGTCAAGGAATTACAATTTAAATAAAAATGATTGCCAGTTTAAAGGTTTGCAACAATGTGGACATTTTTTTTTGTTTGTTTAATTAAATGTCAAGTGTTTGCAGAGGAACAGGTGTTTGGATTGTATTTGTAATCTGTGGTTTTTATCTCTGTAAATAAAGTTAAAGGAGCTAATCAAACAAGACCTGATGTGATTTTCTTTAACAGCGTAGCAATGGCCTCATTTTCACCTTCGCTGTGCAGGTTGGATGGCTTGTCAATCATTACCTGAATGTGTGAAATTGCCGGGCAGGTTGAGACAGGTTGAGGTATAAAGCAGAAACTGTTCATCATGTTTCAGACTCCAATCCTGACATCTTCAACCTCCATTATTTTTATTAGATTCATGACCAGGGTCTTTTAAAACTGTCTCAATACTTAAACTTTAGCTGTTGTGCTATGTTTCAGCCACAAACATCATTATATTTAATGCTATTGAAGGTTGAACACAAAGCAGTACATAACTATGAGGCAAAAAGGGAAACAAATTATATTTTTCAACTATTTTGCTGTAAACTGACTTTGTGATTAGAGACATTCTGCCTCGGTCACAAATTGTTTATATCCTCAAACCAGTTTTGCTCTAGCCTTGTCCTCCCTCTCTAATCTGACATGGGGAGAACAAGCAGTTAGCATTCCTCAATGAAGACAAGCATCCCCACAGCATGCCAGATGACTTTGTCCTTTATTAATTAGACTAGAACAGTTTCATTCCAATGTTTGATGTTTCCCTTTTCAGGGTTTAATTGAAAACTTGAAAAATAACTTCTTAAAGTACAGCACATCAATCACTTTCCTTAACAACACAATTATATACAATTCAATGCTGGTTGATCACAAAAATCGTTTAAAAATGCATCAAAGTTTTTTGGTGAAATACTAAAGGTGTTATATACTTCTTCGGGTAGGAATATATTTGAAAGGCATTGTATGGTAGTGAAATTTGGGGCACCATGGGCTTCAGCATTTTACTAGGACTGAAAATCGCGTGGGTTTTGATGCAGAAGTAGACACGCTTATTTCTGTTTAATTAAAAGGAATATTTTGCATTCGGACACATACGTCTGTAAAGGCTGTGGGCTGAGAGCCAAAAGTGTCAGCTCC